ATAATAATAATAATAATAATTCCAAAACTGTAAATACCGTCCACATGAAAAATCTGTATTTTTTTAAATGCTGCTTTATTTCTTTTGTACATTTACAACATTTGGCTGTAAACTTCAGTTTGTTCGTTTTTTATTGTATTTAAATGAACATTTTTTGGCTATTATTGAAATAAAATGATGTATAAAAAGGATGATTTTACAGACTTCCATGTTCTGTTAAATTACTGGTAATATCAACTAATTTAAATGTAAACTGTAAAAATAATTAAATAAATTACGCCCGAACTGTAAATAACGTCCACGTAGAGAATCAGAACACCTCTGAGTGATCATTTGTCTTTAACGTCTGACCGTCGCCTTCGACTTGATCTGATGAAGTTTCTCTGTTTGCTGCTCAGATGGACGTCATCAGTCTGTTTCCGATGGAGATATTTTATTATTTCACCGGAGTGAACTCTCTGCTCAGGTTTCCTCGACTGCTGAAGGTCTGAACCTTTTTTTATTCTCAGTTTCCTGCCTCGGTTTCTTAGAGTAAACCAGCTGACTGTGCTTTTTCTCTCTCAGTACATGGTTTTCTTTGAGTTCAATGACAGAATGGAGGCTGTGATGAAGAAGGCCTACATCTACAGGTCAGGAAGGTTTTCAATACAAAACCAACAACTTGAAAAATGTGAAATATTAAAGCAACAACAGTAAAAACCTAAAATACAAAACCAACAGCATGATATTAAAAAGACAAAACAACAACATGTAGTGGCCCCAGAATCAAACCTTGAGGAACTCCATGTGTTTCTATGATTTAGTTAATGTGGTGTCACTAACTCTCTGATGTTGTTGTTGTTGTTGTTGTTGTTGTTGTTGTGTGTCAGGGTGATCCGGACCTCCACCTACCTGCTGTATTCTCTGCACATCAACGCCTGCCTCTTCTACTGGGGCTCCGACTACGAAGGACTCGGATCCACCAAGTGGGTCTACAACGGAAAAGGATTCGCGTAAGAACCAAGTCTGACCCGAACCACTAACCTGCTTTACACCACTGATGCAGACCAACACTTGAAACCGTGAAGCTTTATTTGTAGAGATTTTATTCTTACTTTATCTTCGCGCCGTACAAACGTCCTTTTCCCCTGAAGATAAACCGGTTCTGGTTCCACAGTTACATCCGCTGTTACTACTTTGCTGTGAAGACCCTGATCACCATCGGAGGGCTTCCGGATCCGACCACCGTCTTCGAGATCTGCTTCCAGCTCATCAACTACTTTGTCGGCGTCTTTGCGTTCTCCATCATGATCGGTCAGGTGGGTTCTCAGCAGAACTCCTTCAGGGGTCCGTTTGGTCAAGTCCACTTCTGGATTTGACTCGGCTTGTTTTTCGGTTCCTCAGATGAGGGATGTCGTCGGAGCAGCGACTGCCGGTGAGAACTACTACCGGGCCTGTATGGACAGCACCGTCAAGTACATGAACTCCTACAACATCCCCAGAGAGGTCCAGAACCGGATCAAGACCTGGTACGACTACACCTGGAAGAGCCAAGGCATGCTGGGTGAGAAGAAAGTTCTGTCCAAGTTGTTTCATCCGATGCAGCAGATAGATGACCACTGAAATGTTCAAATAAAACCTGGTCCCTGAACGCCTCGTGCTGCGTTCACTGACTCTGTGGTTTCTCTGCAGATGAACAGGAGCTGCTGGTGCAGCTTCCTACTAAGATGAGGTTGGACATCGCTGTGGACGTCAACTACGCCATCGTCAGTAAAGTCGCCCTGTTCCAGGTCAGATCATAAATACTCCAATACTCCTGTGAGTACTCGGATACTTCCTCACTGCTGAACGTAACTGATAATGATGTAAATGTGTGATTCAGGGCTGCGACAGGCAGATGGTGTTCGACATGCTGACGAGGCTGAAGTCTGTCGTTTACCTGCCCGGAGACTTCGTCTGTAAAAAGGTGTGTTTACATGTTTNGCCGCCAGCAGAAGAAGAGGAAGAAGAAGAAAAAGAGCTGGTGTTCCAGTTTGAACTCCTCGGACATCCGGTCAAGATTCCCATCCCAACCAAACTTCCTGCGATACCCGACTGGCTCCGGCCCATCCTGGAGTATCGCTTCCCGTCCAGCATCGACCCGTTCACCGGTGAGCAGAACCACGTCCGAAGTATCGCGTTAAACAAGAAACCAAACAGCAGAAAATGACTGTGAACACATGAACGGGTGCATCGGTTCTGTTGGTTTGTTCTGATCCACTGTGAGTTCTGTTGTTACCGTGTGACTGAGGTCCGTTGGGTTTTCTGTGCAGGAGCTGTCCAGAACTCACAGGGTTGTTGGGTTGTTTTTTAAATTATTATTTGGACTTTTTTCCATCATGCTGAATGTATCTCCAAGAACTTTCTTTATGGATCCAGTATGTTTTATTTTCTTCTCATGATCGTTTTGGACCAGTTTGTCATTTGAGGCTCAGAGGGTTCCATCATGCAAACATCTTCAAGTAGAAGTAACAACAGATGATTAGTTCAAGGACCAGTGTCTAGCTGATACATGGTGTCATTTAGCTTTAGCATGAGGCCACGCCACCAGCAGGTGGCGCTGCAGTTTGACCCTAAAGGGAAACCAATAGAAAGAAAACGAACCGTGTCACAACGTCTTCTTCTTCCAGCTTTTCCAGACCTGCTTGTTCTGGACGGTTTGTTTGACTCTGGGGTCCCTCCACAGATCTGATCTACGTCATCTGGCTCTTCTTCGTGGTGGCGGCCTGGAACTGGAACGTTTGGCTGATTCCCGTCCGCTGGGCGTTTCCCTACCAGACGCCTGAAAACATCCACCTGTGGCTGCTGGCCGACTACAGCTGCGACCTGATTTACATCCTGGACATCCTGGTGATGCAGCCTCGGCTGCAGTTCGTCCGTGGAGGAGACATCGTGGTCAGCAGAGGATGGAAACACAATAAAACGTCTTTGTGGTGTTTTATCTTCATGTTTCACTGACGTGTAGCTTCTGCCTTACAGTGTGATAAAAAGGACATGAGGGAGCATTACATGACCACCGAGAGGTTCAAGGTGAGGAGAAAACACAGAAACACTCGACGCTTTAAAACAGTTTGGAACACAATATAAGTTTTAATGATTGTGTTTGGTGGCAGGTCGAACATCTGTAACTGTCTTATTTAAATAACTCATAACAGCAGACACACTTATGCTGCTCTGAACTTCACAGTCTGTTGGAAAACGTTCATCTAATGTTTGCCTGCCAGTAATTTGTTCCCTGTGCTTTTTTTAAATTTGCACTTAAAAAAAACAAACTGCACTGTTCTAAATGTATTAAACTGTCAAAGAATTCACATTTTTAA